TGCCACGTAGTCATAGGATGAGTGGGCACATTCAAGAGGTCCTGTGAGTTCCATGCCCTGAAGACGGGTCCTTTGTTGCTGGATCCTTGTGGCACGTTCTGCAGGCACAAGTTCGGCCTTTCGACCATGGTCAGCACCACTGATTGTAGTTTTTATTTGGGACGCACATAGGGTTTGTGCGTCAAACATAAGCCTCCTGATCGAACTAAGCTGGCCAATAGTAACCTCATCCAGGTTATCGGCCAAGAGCCCCTTCAAGGCGTCGTCAGGAGGCACTGTTCCAGGCGTCGTCAAGGAGAAAGCTAACTTGGAAAGATTGGTGAGGCCCTGGTTCTGTAGTCGTTCAAGCTGTGCCCTTGTCAAGCCGTGTTCCAAGGCCCGTGCATTGAATGCTGCCTCCGACTCAAGGATCGTTGCCATGCCACCAGCAGCTACGAGTTGAAAAATAAAAATAAAACAAAAGAACCAGCTGGTAAATGTCATGTGTCATGTTTGTATCTTGCACTTGAATGCTGTCGAGACATCTTCAAAAACCTGGCCAAAAGACCTGCAGGTAAAATTTCACAGTCAGAAGTGTAGACCATGCAAGGATTGTGAATGCAGGCTCACGTACAATGCGCACAGTCAGAAGTGTAGACCATGCAAGGATTGTGAATGCAGGCTCACGTACAATGCGTACAGTTGCAGCGACATGCTTTTCTCCACATATTGGGTCATCCTTTACGGGCCCGCTTCACTGCCGCTCCAGCGACTGCCGCACGCTCCCCCTCAGGGGTCTGCACCTGACCCTTGTTGCATTGCTGGCACTTCAAGGCATCTACAAAGAATCTGGCATGAAAAGGCTTGTACTCTTTGCTGAGGGGCCTGCCACAAACAAAAGCTGTCCTGTGCCCGAATGTTGACAGTGCATGCACAAGCTTCGATCTGCCGTGCTGATACAAACTGCACCCTGGATGCCAGTGCCCAGTCGGTCTCTGGCTTGTGGCCATGTCCCTGATGACCTCCTCTGCATCAGACTCATCAGAGCAAAACTCCGACTCTGAATCATCACTAACATTGCTCTCAGAAGTCAACCTCTGCAGCGGCATGGCATCGGCAACCGTCTCTGGACCTTGTACAGGTTCCCTGGCAGAGAAGGCATGTTCTGATGTCTCCTGCGTGTCATCAGCTGGAGATGTTGGTGTTGGGTTCACGCTAACAGCGACTGGGCTCCGAACTCCATCTATGCCTGGGCTTTCCACAATCACTTGGTTTGGGACCGGTGTGAACATCCCAGACCTGGTGGTGTCCGGAGAGAATCTTCCGCCCCTGATATCGGCAAACATCTGTTCCAGGACCCGTAATGGTGAGCTCTGGAGGTCACGGGCATAGACCTCTAGCGCACCACGATTGAGTTGGTGGTGTCCCAAAATCAAACGATCCTCGGGGGATGCACCATACTTGCTAAGCATGATGAGTGTTGTAGCCTTGCAGCCATGTGGTGTAAAACCAGTCGGCTCGAAGTCATGACATGACTGTAAAACTCCATGAATCCACTTGCAAACTTCTGAAGATGTAACCGATCTGTCAGTCCAGTCCCCGATATGTGTAGGTGCTGGAAGCAAGGGATTCCCCTTGGCCCAAGACTTGACATCAAGCCCAACAAGCTTTGATACCTTCGCAAACTCCAGACCCCAGGCTATCTCACTCAAACCTTTGATGGGTGCTATCAAAGGAAGGTGTGCACCAAGTCTGTTCCCAGTTGCCCTCATCTTGTGGGACTCCGAATGCATTTCAATGAAGCCCAGTGAAGTTTCATTGACACCAGTTGCCTCGTCAAAAAGGACCCTTGCAATCTTCCGCAAGTCTCCAAACCTGGCCCTGGAGTATATCGCAAACAGAAAGACGCCCGCTGCATAGCGGTCCACCAAAGCATGCCTCTCATTGCAGAGGTAAGCCTCCAGGAATTGGAGAGTTTTCACATTCAAAGTGGCTGACTGCCGTCTCAAGGGTCTCTCCTGCTGAGCAGTTCTGATGATCCCACTGACCCAAGCCGAATCAAATGCTGTCAAATCACAGTCAAGGCCAACAACATGCTTCATAAATTTGAGCACCTCGGCAAAGCCCTTGTAGGCGGTGTGCCCAGACCCATCGTTTCTGAGGTGCCTGATGTAGTTCTTGATCAACTCAGCCGAGACTGGAAAGGGGTCGCGCTTTGCGTCATTGGTGGCCCACTTGACAAATCTAGCCACCTGTGACAGCCTTCTGCATAAGGTCGCGGGAGATTTTTCTCCGAGAACCTCTGACACAATCTTGACCCTCTCAGCATACTCCACATCAAAAATCTGGATTCCGAGATCAAACGCAGAGTAGTTTATTGAAATAAGGGCCTCCCACTTCTGTGCCAGAATGGCCAATTGGTCGCTCTCACTAAGATGGCAGGTGCGAAAGGAGTTGAATGATATTGCGCTTTCAAAAACAGTTGGTTTGTCCATGACGGGCACTCCACGTCCAGGTCGGGTGTCTTCTGGTTCATGTTGAGGCTCTACGTACCCCCAAACTGGAGTCACATCCGGAATTGAAAATGGATCGCGTTCACCAAACACCCATGACATTGATGGTTCTTCCCATGGCATGACCAAGTCTGAAGGTCTGGCACTGATTGCATGCGCATCGTTTATGGCATCATGCATTCTCTGTCTAAACTCTGGGGAGATCTCAGCTGCCTCACCATGCGGCTCACTCCTCTCATCGCCTTGCTCGATGTTGTAGACACCAAGTTGTCCACCCATGTAGTGCCTGGCAAAACACACAAGACACGATGAAATCAATGTTTAAAAACAACCGAAAAACTAATCAAAGATTGTGGCAACATACATTCAGTGACTGCGTACCAATGGCCTCCAGTCCTCAAGGCCACCTAAACCAACAGGGATGCCCCGAGAAATTATCTTGGGGAGTACACACCAAAAAGGTGGGGGAAAAGGAAGAAAGAAAATTTGCCAGTTCACGAGGCCATGGCATGGGAGAAATAAGGAAGATGCAAACTGCCCACATGGACATCCGTCTGAGATGCACACCGCAAATCTCGACAGTCGTGACACCTATAGAATCATGGTGTCAAGAGTGTAAACTCAGATGCACCTATCTTCCGGAGGCTTGCATGGCAAAATTATATTCATCGAAGGAAGTTTGTGGCACATGGTTTTCAGACAAATCTAAATGGTCAATTCTGACGGGAAAAACCTTCACACTTTATGAAAGTGTGAAGGTTTTTCCTGCCACCGTCTTGGGAGCACACGCTCCGAAACAGCGGCTGTTCAATCGCCAATGGATGGCCTAGGCGCGTGCACATGCACGACTTGGATTACATGCGGTCAATGCCAACATGTGGAAGATCAGACGGGAAAAACCTTCACACTTTATGAAAGTGTGAAGGTTTTTCCTGCCACCGTCTTGGGAGCACACGCTCCGAAACAGCGGCAGTTCAATCGCCAATGGATGGCCTAGGCGCGTGCACATGCACGACTTGGATTACATGCGGTCAATGCCAGCATGTGGAAGATGCACACGCATCAATTTGACACCTGGGTCACACACTTTTCCGAAAAAGGTCACACCAAAACCTGCTGGCAAGTTCACATGTGCACACACATAAGTCATGGCATGTCATGACATCTGATGTCGCACCCAGGACACAAAATGGCATGCACAAGAACGGAAAACATCGTTGAAACGCCATGCGGAAACTCTACAAAGAAAATCCAGATAGGTGAACATGACAAGAAACATGTGAAAGTGCATGCACATGACCCGTCACATGGTGTCCAAACATTCGGACGGTGAACTTGGCACCTGACTGGCCACAGGGGCCTAATGTCACATCGACTGAACGTGCCCACATTGGGTTGAGACTGTTGAGACATTCAATGCACATTGCATGACTCGACATTGAGTCCGCAACCCAACAGTCTCAGGGCACACCTGACATTGACATACATTGACCACACATTGTGGTTTCATCGAACGTGTTTGGTAAATAAAAAAACAAAACACTTCCAGTCAGGACACATACATAAAACACTTGTAATTACTGCAGAAGGTTTGGGGGCCTCAGGACAGCGGACAACCCATACCGGAAATGGCTACGGGCTGGAGCACAGGGTCACCATGCATTCAACAATCAAGTCGCCACCAACATTTGGTGAGCTGGAAGTGAATCACATGATTCCTTGATTGATCGCATGCCAGTCCTATGAAATTCACACTGTCCCAGTCTCGTCCCTTCCCTTCTCATCAATCTTTCTTTTTTGTTGCCAAAAGTCAGACTAAGCCCTCTGTACTGCAACCCATACAAATTGGCAAATTGTCAGCGCAGTTTGGATCATAAAGATAAACCTTAGCACTATGTCATCCACAAAGGTGTAGTAGAGTTCCATCTCCGAACGCTCTCCCCCCAGTCAAGGTCAAGGTGAGGATTATAGTTTCAGGTAAACACAGCTCCTGCAGAGCGAGATGGAGCAGCAGCCCCACGCATTTCCCGAAGCTGTCTCCAGGGAGTCAATGCGTCTTGTCAAGACCTCGAAGTCGTTGGCACAATTGTCCCATAGTTCCCAGGGGCTGATGCGCCGGAGGCACACAAAAAGTGAAATTGCATGTCTCACCCACATTGAAATCAGTGGCCAAGTCCTCTGTTCTATGCGCGCTTCCGACAACAATGAAAAAGATCCAAAAGCAACACAAATGTTTCACACTTGCTCTTCTATGAGACGCCATGGCGTCATGGCAGGCAAGTACGGTAACGATCTGACACAAAAAGTGTTGCTGAGCCAAAACTACAAACATACGATGAACAACTGATCAACTCGACCTGACATCTCAGGTCTTGTTGCTGCCATGATAAGGTGTTATCACTCAGTTCCCTCGTGAGAATCAACCAACTTATTGGAGGTTATCACCAGGGTTATACCCATTCATAACCCCGACTGCAGCCCCACATCACCCAGCCACCCTCGGGACACCTCCGACCAAAGCTTCGTCGCTTTGGCCTTTGCGGCCTGGAATTTGCTTCCAGATCTGGGCAGCAGTTCGTGATCCGGAGCTGAGCCCACAATAGCCTTTGCCTGCGCTGGACATACGCTGATGCCAGCTACTTAGCTAACTTGGTTTATAACTAGGCTACCCTCTGGTAATTTAACATAGCTATTGAAAATGACCATTTATAGTGGATTTTCCCATTAAAAATGGTGATTTTCCATAGCTACGTTAAATTACCAGAGGGTATCTAGGTTCTATTGTCGATATCTATTCTTAGATTCTGGATGAGTTTTATCTACAGAAAAAAACTGGGGGGGTGATACGATCCCCACCTCCTCTTGGTAAGAGATCGGGCACAGCATATGGCAATGCCACACCCACCTCGCAGGTTAGTTCGGCCGGAAAATGGCTCATTTAATTCGATGATTTACCATGATTTATCTATTAAAAATAGTGGTTTTCCATGGCTATGCCTATGCTAAATTACCAGAGGATACCGAGGATACCAAAGGTTAGCAAATTCTGTTTAATGGCTTGGTCTGCAAAAAATAGGGAACCCCCTCATGAATGCTGACCGAGCAGCTCCACATCTAAAGGAGGTATCAAACCCTGGTGCCTTGGCTCACACTGGGGAAATCACACACAGTTGGGACGCAAAAACGACAGTTGGGGCATGATTATCAATCCTCATTAACATCACACAAATTAAAACATACAGGTTGGGCACCCCCAGTTATAAGTTAGTTTATAGACCACATTAACTATAGTTATATCTACCATAAACATCCATAAACTATAGTTAAGCCACTGTCTTGGGGCCCCCGTCCTGTGGGGTGTTGAGCTACTCGGATCACTCGCATCGACCAAGGGTCAAGGAAAAAAATGGGGGTTTCACCTGAAAGAAGGAGGAGAAACACCAACTCGTTTGCGTGGATATTTGGTGGAATATGCACACACAAACATTTATATTATAAATATGGTACATTATATATTGGTATGTAGATGTATGTAGTATAGTATGCATCAAGATTATTTGGGTTTGTCCCAAAAATGGGAAACAATGGCACTGTTTCTGAAAATCATATCGTAACCATTGATAAACCATCAAGTTTGTGGGTATAGTATATTGTCAGACAAACCCACATGGAAATTGGATAAGATAAGAAAATAGCTGCTAAAGTTTGCTAGAACCAACCGAATCACTAGTCTGACTAGACAAGGCTTACTTCTGCCAGACCGGTGTTTCATGGTACTTCAAATGTGGGAATGCCAAAAAACACATAAAAACACGAGATCATCAGTAGAAAAAATGATGCAATTCCCATGTTTCAATCCCTGAAGACTTTTTGGTCAGTTGGAATAGGGTTGAAACTAAAACATATACAGTAAAACATATCTGAAAGCACCAACCACCAACGACCAACATCAAGCTGCCCATGCTTGGCCAAGATCGGAAGCCAGATCTGCTCGTAACGCCGTATGGCTTCCAGAAGCAGCCGTTGGTTGCTATACAGAGCAGGGTATTTCTCCACCTCCTGCGTAGAAAAAACACCTACAGACCTACAGTGACCTACAGTAAGGGGGTGACTTTAAATCATCCCAAGTAGGGTTATGAATATCCAATCAACATCAATAAACCACAAAGGGCGCGATGAATAGCCCACAACTCCCATCCCTTGCACTTCAGCAAAGATTTCGGCACAACTTTGGATAATTGAACGGGAGGTAGCGCGGTGTAACCGCTTTCGATGAGAATCAATCATTGGATATTGATGGGGGATAACATTACACATCTTTTATCAACTGTTCAATAGATGCAAACAACAAGCATTTGACATCGGCTGTGTTGCGTTTGGATGGGATTCGCTCATTTTTCCTTGAATTCGCACCATGACAAGCTACTGCTTAGTTGGGATAAGGTGATGTGATCCGCGCACCACTCCCACACTCCCAAAAATTACGTTTAAGGATTCTACCCATTCCTGGGCCTTCACTTTCATGTTCTGACTCTGAGTGGCACATCTTGCGCAAAGCAACTTACACATGAGCACACTGAATCACATTGTAATCACATTGAACATTTCGATACATGTCGTGTATTGTGCAAACTCAACTGACAACTTGGAGGTGCAGTTCGAGTAAGTGGCTTGTAATACATGCTTGTATAACCATGTCATTATAGTTGTCGGGGTTCTATCCCAACTCATGGCGCTGAAAATCCCTATTAGTAACCCACCAAGCCCGTCGTCCTGCAAAAACTGGATCATGTTAAGGCTCCCCTGCGGCGAGGCTGGGTGCTGTCCTGGGCCCTTGAAAGCTCACCATGAATTCTCACATCGTTGCTGGGCCTTTCCTGTATCATCATCTTCCTGCCCCACAGAAAAAGAGATCAACACACGCACACATTATATATCATATTATATAAATATATCAGAATACTGATATATCGGCGATGTTTAGCAGCAATTGGACCCTGGGGTATGCCATGTTATAGCATGTTACAGCCCCATCAGTGAAATTATGTCCTGCTATGTCCTGCTCAAAAATCGAGGGGACGGTGTGGATATACGTCATCATCTCCAGATTCATCAATTGGGGTCACCCCTCAACCAACCATTGGAAAAAGGACATCTATCTGGATCAATTCCTAATTCACCTGAAAAGTTCGGCCAGTTAGGGGATCCTTCCCCCGAGCCAATTCCCATCGTTCCAGTGACATCACAGGCTTCGGGCGTAATCATGTGTCATCTATCCAACTTCCATCAACGTCCCCACGCATCCAACAATGTCCCACAGCTGCCTGCACCAAATCTACATGCGCTTTGGCAAATGTGGATGAGCTCACCTAACGATCAAGTTGGAGACCATAGCTGGATCCAAGGCTACACCCCTGAGGGAGTATCCAAGTGTTGGATCCATCCGGGCTATTGATCTTCCATTGCCATCATTTCCGTCTTTTATGTCGCCAGACAGCAACCCCTATGGCCATTGTTTCAGCCGCTCACACTATTCTTGGAGTTTATACTCCAGCTCCTACCCGTACTACCCTCGAGAAAATCAGAGGTAAACGTATAATCATTATAATCATGTCATATCATACATAAAATCACAAAAGTACATAAAGTTTCATACAGTGTTAGATGCACCTTGCAAGGATTTCATTCGGCTAGTGGTGTCCTCTAATGTCCTCTATTGCTTAGCTTGGCCGGGACCTCCAATCCCTTCCAATCCCATAGCAGGTTCCCCCTGAGATCACCTTACGCCGTGACCGCGAAGCACAGGGACCCATGGCTGTTGTAGCACAGAGACCCATGGCTGAGCCGAGACGGTTCCTGGAGAGCTGCGCGTGGGAATCACCTGCCAGACCTCACCAAGGGGGACAACAGGAATCCATCATCCTGATGGCACTGAAAATGTCATGATTCATCGGAATTGAGTTCGAACTCCTGCTAGAGGAGAATAATTACTGAACAAATCTTGAACAACATATCACCAGAACCCCAGCCGATACCCCAAGCACTCGGCCAGCTCGATAATCTTCATGCTGTCGCGCTCCAACACCACCTGCCATATCCCATAGGATCCATGTACGGTATATATGCTAACATTGGGGGTATATTGATGGTAAATGTTCCCATATATAGCAGCACCATGGATCCTATGGGTATCCAAATCCCAAGTGATCCCAAGTGATCCCAAGTGGCAGTGGCCCCAGCCAGGTCCACCCGCTCGTTGCGCTCGTTGAGGAAGAGCACACCATCCAATCCTTCGAGGCCATGCTGCAGCAGGTACTGCGCCACTTCCAAGTTGCTCATCCCAGTGACCTGTGAGCAGTGCAAGAAACCTCTTGGAAAATCCTAAAATCTTGGGAAATTCTGGATTTCACATGATCTAACTGACTTAAACACTAAAATACCTATAAACATTGGGATTGATGCTTGATTTATGACGGGAAGTCACGAAAATTGTGCTTACTTAATGATTCTCGCTTCATGGACAACTATTGTATGACAATCCTTCATATTAATATAAAGGGTAGGTTAATCCCGAACTAATCATCGACCAATGCCAGTGGTTTTTTAGACGCTCGCCTTAGCTTTGGCCTTTTGTTTGGTAGCCCCAATCTGGATGGACAGTGCCCAAGTGGGCTAGTCATGATAATTGATCATGGGATGATGGGACAATAATTGGTGGGATAATGATTGGAGAATCGTGGAATACTAAACATTGAATGCTTGAACTGCGGAGATGTCTGTCTTTGATTGTCAACTATCTTTTTCAGTGAGCCTGATTGCAGCCAAATATATGAAACTAGGGCATCCAAAAATGGCTTCGGAAATATCGGAAATGTAGTTGCTGGAATCTAACCATGGCTATTCCATCTAAACACATTTCACCAGTCTTGGGCTCCATAACAACACAGCTTCACGGGGGTCAATGATGTATGTATCATCTCAAAGATACCGTAGCAAAAGCAGCATGGTAGAACCAAGCCCCATCATGGCCCTCCACCCCTTAGGCACCCCCACCAAAGCTCCAGAGTCGATCAGGGCATGATACTTGGGCCTGGGAATTGCCATGGGATGGCCATCAAAAACCAATCAGGAAGCGGGTACTTTCTGGGGAATTGGGGAAGATTGGCATAACATTGGGGCCCTTTTGGATCACTCAGAGCTTAGGAAGTCAAGATCTTCTCAGGGAACGCATCAAAGAATCCAGGCCCGAATCCCGGCCCCACTACAGCTTGCCTGTTCAGGCAACGCGCTGTGGCCACCTTTCAGCAGTGCCACATGGTGCCAGCCGGCAATGCTAAGAACCACCCACTTCATGTGTAGATACTTATCCAAATTCAGGTGCCTGGAAGACATTGGGGACACTAGCAGACTATGTGCTCAACACAGATTCCATGCTGGCCTCCCACCCCACCACGTCCGGATTCAATCTCAGAGGACTGCAAGACAGAATGTGGAAAGCAGAATTCAACTTGAACATACTTGAACTACAGTCACCAGGAAATGCCCAAGCACCCGCTGCAGCTGCCATTGGTTTTACACTCAAAGATTGGCAGAGGGAAAATACAGGTTTTGAGAGGGGCGCCAAGTGCCAAAACGCCGCAATTCGCACAACCCAAGCCACTGCCGCGCTGCCGGGCAGCCTTCAATTTCTATGTTCCATGGCCTCTTGCACGTAAGAACCCCCTGGGCCTCCCCCCAAAAAAGTGGGTTGCTAAATGAATTGACTTCAAATGCCGTAGCAGGTACAGTACCAGTACTGGACTGTGTTTAAAGTGAAGGCATGTGCGCCATGGTGTGAACATGATGTGTGAATATGTGGTATGGCAATCCATCCAACATGGGAAATCCGTATGTTACGGTCTCTAAATTCCTGCTGATGTTGGTATGACCATCCTCCTCCTCCTCCACTTAATAGGTAAATCTAATCACTTTTGATCATGGCACATGTGACACCTTGACAGTTCTTATTGACATCGCCGTTGGTTCAGCATCTTCCTTTTATCATCGTCATGACAACCAAATAGGGACAGCGTGGCAGTGTCGAAGGTGGCCGGCCAGTGCCAGTGCCAAGGCAATCTACTGACATAAGTCTTGGCTCCGCGTCATGGAAAACAACCCTAAAACATTGGATTGTTGGATTGTTGCCGTTCCGCAAAGTACAAAAGGTATAGCTGGAATGTAACATTTCAAAACTGGACATGAGTATTTCTTATCAACCAAAACATTGAATTCTTTGCTGTATGTCCAGTACAGTTGGGGCACCTTGGCACTTTGGGATAGTTTTTGGGAGACTTTCGACTTCGCGGGAGCCAGTCAATTCATAACAGTTCCGGTGCACAGCACTTGGTCACCGTGCACACGGGATACTCCCCAAAGATACACGAGAAATCTTTGGAGCGTGGTAACAAGGTGGCAGCTAGCAAGTAAAGTCAGCATCAGCAACAAGGCGCCATCAAAATTTCAGATCTATGCTAAAGATGGGCGCCAACTATCTACTCTCACTGCATTGATGTATCCTCTGCGGCTGCGAGAAGAGATATACCCTGGACCATCCTGAATCCCCCTGTGCAAAAAAGGCAACTGTGCATATTTTGTTTGTATGTATACATGTGTCTATCTACATATAAAAATATAAAATTATATAGAGTATGTCCAGTAATATGCAGCTTACATCATGTTATCTTAAATCTAAATAATTATCTCGAAGTCTCGAAGGACATCTGGACAGAGGGGCACCAGCATAGTCTAAAGCTGATGCTGGAAAGAGCATTGAGCACGCTACATGAGTGGCTTCTCAAAAGTTGTTTACCCATTGTTTCCCAATTAAAGGATTTCTTATGACTTCTTCATACTTCTTCAATGCTTCCATCATCAGTCTTGACATCATTTCAGACACACCCACCTTGAATACCCTCTGGTGATTTAGCAGTTAACGGGGAAACTACCATTTAAGAAAAGCTGCATTCATCTATTTCCATGGGCCATGGCATTGGCTTCCAAGCCAAACTGAACGAAATGACCGGAGGGTATTCCTTGGTGTACAGACTCCCAATGAGTCCCAGGCACGGAAATCAAACCAGGATATACTCCAGGACCTTCTTGGGGAGCCAACCATCCACTGGAGAGTCCGGACGTTTCGGGCTGATGCGCTCTCCATAGACCCATCCTCTTTCGGCCTCCTTGGACACAGCGATCAGGTCTCCCTTCAACAGGCCCAAGGTGCCAGCACCTGGCGGTCAGTCGATTGCGGCTATATCTTCCAGCTTCCAAAGGGAGGTTTCCTAAAGTGGATCCCCAAAATCATAGGTTTCAATACTAAGTTGTAGTGGGATAGGTTTACTAAGTTGTAGTCATTCATAACGACATATAACGACTGGATGGTCTGGGGGTACCTCTATCCCACCTTCTTCAGGCCATTCTGCAGCGACTCGGCAAAGAGACACTCGCTTGGCCACAGCATGAGGTACCCAACCTGTCAGCAGGCCATGTCCCGCGACCAGGGGTGATACGACTTGACCAAAAAGCTCTAGTGGAACACCTTGACACTCACATTTCAACACCATTTCCACTGTCAACCCACTGACAGAAGGCTCCGGTTGCATTTGTGATTGTTTTTGCCATGGTCGCTGAGCTATATAATACCTTCCACTCATATTAGATAGCCCCCTACCGAAACTTTGTTTTAGTATTGGATCTGTTCATGACTTGAGAGTCAGTCATAGGGGGTACGTAAATATGATGTTGGCTACATATCCCCATTTCAAAATGGTTTAACCATCATTAAGAAATGGGATTGTTGGAACTACCCCCATGTCCCGTTAAACCATGTTAAGCATTGGTAAACCCATGTAAACCCCATGGTAAACCCCATTTTGGATGGTTAACACATGTTAACACCACAACAGTCGCGGCGACCCATGGGAAAAAAGAACATCGGTGAATCAACGCACCACGTGCCTTCGCTCGGTGGATCGCTCGCTTGTTCTCCATGCTTCACGGTGGCGGCATAGACCCAGCCATGAGCTGCGCGATGCGAAACGTTCACCAGGGTACCTTTACCTCGCGGTCAGGGTCAGGGTCAATTCGTGGCCGTACAACAGGAACCTCAATTTTATTGGAGGTACCTACCATGTATTTTGGGTCTATGCATATAAGATTATATAAGGCAGGCATAAGGGCTATGTAAGGGGATACCCCAAAAACGGCCATTGAGTCAGGGAATACCTTCGGGCACGGGCGGGGTGACGTTCATGGGGAAGAACCCTGGTGTCCTTTCCATGGATAAGTTGGGATATAACCCCCATAAGTATGGTTCTATTATAGAGTCAATCAGTCAAGGAATATTTCAGCTACCTAAATCAATTGGAGATACTAATCTGTGTAAGGTCTATGTCTATGTGCCTATGTAAGGGAATATTTCAGAAAAATACGGCCTTGTATGGTACAGTCCGGTACAGCACATCCATTTTAGGATCCTGAAATGTCCATTAAAACGGTAAGATCTATAAAGTCAACCCTCGCTTTGTACGCACAAAACAAGTGGGTCAAAGTACTAACAGATGATTGGGTAAAACATGGTAAAACCAAATTTGATGGGTACAAACGGAGAAGGTAACGTCAACCCTGGATTTTGTATGTATGATTAATTATGATTATGTATGTATGATTATATAATGTCTATCTCTGGGCTGCTAAATCTTGAAAGAAAGTATAGAATGCAATGAAACACTGGCAACTGATTTACTTTGTTGGGGTTGCCCTCTGATTAGTCAACGAAATCCCACGCTGACGCTCACTGGGATGTGCCTGGGTAAGTTGCGAACGTGGGAGCTTCAAGATAAATCCCAGTAGTACAAGCAATGTAGCAAGAAGAGGCAAGATATGGTAAGATTAAATGAAAATGTAAAGAAAACATAGGAAAATCACGTCATATGATTTGAATCAATGGGGACATTGATGAAATGAACATGTATTGAGTACAGAAATGTCTCACAATTCGCCCAGTGTCGAACTCGCAGCTGACCGGTCTGATCCGGTTCCTGGAGAAAGCGCTCGGTTCATGTCCAATTTCGGGGCTGTAGTTTCACCATGTTTAACCCGTAGCCCAGGGTCTCCCAAAGTCACCACTGTTGAACTCCCAAAGGGCCCAGAACCCGAGATCATCCATCCAGATTTCCATCTCAGTACGGCAACAGAACCAATGCCTGGACGTGCTGCAGAAACCTTGTTGGATGCAACGCTTGACCCTAGCTATGTCACTGAAAAAAAAGGCTCAAGGCTGGGCCAATCACTTCCCAGCCAGGGCTCCCAATCGTGCGTGGTGATGTGGAGGAGCACCTGGGCTCCCTCGTTGGTTTCACCATCAGGAGGTTGAGCAGGCGAAGGGCCAGCTCCAATCGATTGCCTGTAGGACAATTGCAAAAATTTCAGGGTCCAGCAATACATCGCCGTAAGGTCGGCAATCCACATACACTAATTGATTGGTCATGAGTCATAATATTAATTCATTAGAGTACCAATGAGTACCAGGTTGCCTGGGTTTCCGCAAAACAAAAAACAGCAGTTGATCTCAACCAATTGAGTCTCTTTATACTACTGTAATTAAGTCGGTTGACAAATTTGATAGGGATTCCCCCATGGATTGTGGCATCCCCAATATATTGCTTAGCATCATACCCGCCTATAATTATCAACCGCCCGGTTTTTTGAACACTGCTCAACTAAGAGTGGAATAGATTAGCCCTGCACTTACCTGCCCCGAAACGTAACGCCCCACATCCAACAGCAAAAACCCTTCCAAGTAGCTGAATGCCGCCGCCATCGCCGATCCTTGGACACATAGGCACAAAGATCGCATGTTCATCCTCATCACTGGTGATGATTTCCAGTTCACTCCGAATATTATACCCTTTGCTCACCCCAAATTGCCATGTAGGGTAAAGACTGAAATTGTCACAAGCATTCGGCCAAGTGGGTGGTTTACCAGCAGCAAGTTTATCCTCTAAACAGTCGAAAACTCATCCGAACAGTGGTGCTGGCTGTACCAGCATCAGCTGTCCCAACATCCGACAAACAGCATCTACAGGTGTGTATATATATAGTTAGTGTCAGCATTAGCTATCATATGACTTAGGAAACTCAATTCGTAGCTCTTTGGTTCCCCATGGTTCCCCAGGAAAAAAGAAGGGAAGATGGATACCCATAGCTCCCTCCACTGGATCGTTAGCTTGGCAACTGGGAGAAGGCCAGTTGGTACGGCGCCTGGAAGTTGGGAGCTGCTTGATTGATGGGTGACCTGCGGCAACGAATGGAAAATGACGAAACGTCAATGAAGATCCGTGAACACATGGGAAATCAATATGGAAATCGAAAGATATCGAAAGTATGTATGTAGTTTTACAAGCTGATGATGGATTGATGGAAGATTGATCATTGAGGTAGATCTGTGAGGTGCATACTCCAGAAATACAATAGACAATAGATCTGAAATCATATATGAAAGACTATCGAAGTATCATGATGTATATACAGAGCCTCTGCAGCACTAACTCTGCGATATGCCCTTGGCACTGCTTTTCCAAATGCAAATGGACATATTAGACATACAGGCTAAGCGCTACTGCGGCATCACATCGGCATCACTTTCTCTGGAATTTGAAAAACTATTTGGCTGAAGAAGTGGACGGAGACAGTCCGTGAATTTGGGCACAAGTGGCGTGGCTGAGAACAAACTAAGACATATTCAAAAGATCTAAAAAACTTAAAAGATGCTAGAAGAGGGGGACAGAAACGGATAAACCCATATCATCCATGAATCATTAATCCATATGAATCCATATCACCCATATCATCCATTAACCCATAGGAATCTCCAGAAATTCAGCCAGGTCGCTGCACGCCAGACGGGGTACAGCCGGTGGCCACGTTGGGACTTGTGCCGAACTGCGTTGGAGACATGCACTGTCCACCTGGTGGAGGGCTGGGAACTTCACCCGAAATCTTGCGACATCATGCTGCTAAAATGGGAACCTATGGGAATCTGCAAAATCCCAAGAAAGGAAAAAAAAATCTAAAGTATCAGAGGGATCTCTGCTTTGCAAGATCGGTGGCTATGGCGGTGACGATGGGTGACGATGAGGATGATGAGAATGATGAGGATGCTGAGGAAGATGAGGATGACGATGAGGATGAGGATGAGGATGAGGAGGATGAGAATGAGGATGACGATGAAAATGACAATGACAATGACGGTGGCGGTGACGGTGATGATGACAAAGAGGATGCTGATGCTGATACTGCTGATGCTGATGATGACGACGATGATGATCATAATCATAAACATGTTCATGAACATGATCATGATCATGACGATGATGATGAAAATGATGACGATGATGATGAAAATGATGACGACGACGACGACGTCGACGACGACCACCACCACCACCACCACCACGACGACTTCGACCACGACGACCACGACGACCACGACGACCACGACGACCACGACGACCACCACGACGACTTCGACCACGACGACCACGACGACCACGACGACCACGACGACCACGACGACCACGACGACGATCTTTCATGATGATCATGATCATGATCATGATAATTATTAATTAATTATGATTATGATTATGATTATGATTATGGCACGATCTGGCATAGGCCTAGCGCACTCCAAAGTCTATCCAGCAAGCCAATCAAGACTCAGCCCGGCTGCGAAAATTGGCTCGACAGCCGAGCCACAGGCCACGGGCAAAATAGGCTGTCCTTGTGGCATTGAGACTGGCACTGGCACCATACCAGGACCACCGGGACTATGGCCCTGCTGATAGGGCTCCGCCTTGGCGCCGGGGGCAAAGGCAAAACGGGAGAAAACCAACAGAACCATCCATAATTGGGGAGTTATTCCAACATATTCCAACCAGTTCTGGTGAAATTGGGGGTGGTGTATTGGTATGAGCTTACCACATTGCTACATCATTATCACACATTATAGAGTTATCCTCGCACTTCACACTCTCCAGACTCTGGACTTTCTATAGTTCATCAATCATCATTCAAGCCTTGGCATGCTTCCATTGAACGGCACTTTCATCATCTCATATCATCTCTCATCCACCGTCCCTCCGATCTCTGCAGCCGCCAAGGTACGTAGGGGTAGGAGGCCCCACCATACGGCTGATCTGCCAGGGCAGAGGCTCCTCCAAAGCCAACGAAAGGCTATGGCGGAAAAGTTGGTTCATGAATATAGCTTTAACCAACTAGAGTTAAAAAGGTGGATATAGCCTAGCTATATAATCACAAACCAACTAACCAACTATGATATAACTATAATCTGCTATAGTTGTAAACAACTATAATTCGATGGTGCATATGGCTGCCGGTGTTAGAAACCAACTTACTGGCCGGTCTTTCCTTCCAGATTTAAACAATGCAAGTAGCAAAATTACTGTACAATAGAGGAGAGAGGAAAAAAAACATGCAAGTGAGGGTGGGTTGATAAAATACTGTACAGTTGATTAAAAAAGTGAGCTACAGTAACAGTAGTTATATACTGTACAGTTGATAAAATTGGATACACTATATAGATACAAGACAACGTGCCAACACCTGCCCCAGGTTGACAACGTTTCTAAGCGGAAATTTTCCATGCCTTGATAGTAGAGAGGCGGATGTGCGTAGCTGTGTGGGGCCACTCCACCATACATGCCACCATAATGCGCCACCATTGGGTCTACATGACCTGGCAGATCGCAGCGCGAGCACTGGACGGACAGCAGATTCAGAGGGCTACCCTCTGGAAATGACTAATAGTTTGCTCTTGAAAATTGTGCATTTATTCACTAGATTTACCATGATTTACCTATTAAATTAAAGATGTTGATTTTCCATAGCTACGTTAGTTTACCAGAGGGCTAGAATCATCTAGTGGAATCATGTCAATGTGTCATGGTGTTTTTTTGGTATCAATCAGGAGTAATGAATCCTTGCACCAGTTGCCCAGCAGGCTCCCTAGGCCTAATCAGATGTAATCCTCAATTTCACCTCGATTGCATCCTGCCAATCCCCTATTCTTGGACTTAAGCTATCATGCAATTGGCTATATGTACATATATGTCATATATGTACTGTCTATATGATATCCTATTACATCCTCATCCTGATCTATCCCCAGAACTTTTCTAACAAGCTGGTTAGTTTATTCCATTGTTTGGAATATTGGTTAGGGTTATATAACTCGTACGGTTTAACCGTCTAGTCAATTTTGCCGCAATCCACCATGGTCGATTGAATCCGGACACTAAATAATAACAATACATTCAAAGTTTTTCCACCCTTTTAGTGGGTGTCTAGCCAGCCAACCCCGCACGACCTGATCATTTTGGAGGTCCTTGTAGAGACTATTGGGAGGATCATCCCACTTAAGAATTGGGACAATCCATAAATCGGGAGCTTACCACCACCAGGTGAACCAGTTCCAATTCGTGGAATGGATCCTTCCAATGTTTGGCGACACCCATGGTGCACAAACTGCCTTCTCTGATGGTGGTGGAATCCCTTTGCCCCACCATGTTCAAGCCTTTTGCTACAGGCAGGGTGCCCCAAAGTTTGATAGTTAAACGTTATTATTCCACTAAAACCACTAAAAACTAGGGGAGTAAACCACCCATTTTTGAAGGGTGTCCATGAGTAGTTTTACCATGTTGCTACTGCCATCATCGTGATTAATTACTACAATCATATTGCTCTGCCAGTCGTGGAACAACATGATATATATATATATATATGTTTTAAATAATGCATATTAGAGTTTACATGTGCTTTAGGGTGAAGAGGGTTTGGGCTTTACGGAGTCGGGTGTGCCATCATCATCATCATCATCATCATGATCATTATGATCATTATGATCATCATGATCATCATGATCATCATGATCATCATCAGCAGCAGCAGAAGAAGAGTCACTATTACCCACCCCGTATGGAACAAAACAAAAAGCATTTTAAGGTTCTACATGAGGTTCAGGGATTCAGGTTTTGGGTTGACCATGATCATCGCATCGTCATAATCGAAACAATAGTCATGACCATCATCATCATCATCATCATCATCATCATCATCACCATCACCATCATCATCAGCGTCATCGGTCCAAATGCTCATTGAGAGCCCGGGCAAACCTCAGCGTTTTGCCTTACTATATTGTTGCTTTTGTTGTGGCCGTAGATATTTTAATCCTTTTTTCCTGTTTACAGTAAAAAGAAGTGCCCCCCAAAGATCTACATTACATAAAGGATATTCCCAGTTCCATGGATCAAGATTTGATAGTTGATTCTACAATATGTTACATGTTCCTCAATTATTCTTATTGTTATTCTTCGTCTTGCCACTGTGTTTACTGGAAAAAAAAACCGCCCGGATCCGAACACTTGCTCCAAAGGTACTTGGATCGTCTTGGATCCGATGTGGAAAAGGAACATCTACCTCTGGTTGTTTGTTACAGTTACAAAGATGTGCCTTGACTTAAGATGGGCTTAGGGGCTTTACAAAAGGACTTAGGGAAGTTAACTTGAAGTTATGTTAAGTTATGCAACAGGATTTTAAGTTAAGTTATATCTTTTGTATCTTTTTAGCGTTAAATTTTGTAGTTTTTTTTTGGCAATTGTCATATGATTTTGGGAAGTTCCGTTCTTCCCGCTGCATGTCGTTCCCTTAGCTTTTGATCTCGAAATGTGAAGAGTTTCTGGCAAAAACAGCGGCTCGGGTGAGCTTGAGAAAGAAAAACCGCTACGGATTTCAGTCTTGAGGAAACACAAAAACACACGTTTTTAACACATATAATATATAGATATCGTTTCATTGCGTTTCCAAGTGCCATGGTGGTGAGAGGTGGAAACACAACCGCGTTCCCTTGCCATGTCGGTTTTTCATGAAGATACCCATGCGCGCTCCCATGTTTCGTAGAAACACATCCCGGACGTCGAGATTTTTGAGCACCATGTGTTTAGATGTGGAAACACATCTTTAGCACATACGCGTTTACCATCACTTTTTATGTCTCTGTGTGGAAACACATACATATGTACTTGTTCTGGAAGTGTCAAATCTAGGAACACATGCACGTTTCCTTGTTTTCTTCTCTGAACAACAGGAAACACATGCGCGTTCCACGCCAACCTTGTCTCATCTTCTCTTATACAACAGGAAAAGCCAGGATTTGAAGTCCTGCAGCGTCGCTCTCTGTGCTATCACATTTCAGCTGCAGCCATGCTTCCCGTGAAATTGTGCTCCACTTGAGAAGAAAAATTGTCCAGCCATACAAAACATCCGTTTCCAGGCCAAAAAACAGCTGTCTTTGCAAACTTATTTGTTTGATTTTTTTTATGTATCTGCTATCTGATGTTATATCTCCCTATCTATTGATATAACTTTAACATGACGTATACAAGTTACCCCCATTTATAAATATACTTGAACCACGTTATAAAATTAAATATACAACATATAAAATGATTGGATGTCAAGGCACAACATTGTACAGTTTGTGACCTGGAAGCCATGGCCCAGTGAGTTTGATGATTCGTTATGATTTACCTCTTCAAAATGGTGGTATAGCCGCATTTGCTATGTTAAATAACCAGAGGCTAACATCATGATGTGAAGTAATCAGATGGTAAAATGCTGGCTTGGAAAACCTGGCGATGTTTTCAGCACCCGAAACCGACCCCGGCGGCACGTTCCCGGCCTTGCTGCGGCATCATCCCCAACGGCATCGAGGCGAAGCCTGTGAATCCGCTGCCAAAGCCACCAGGGTGGAGGATGGACACCTGTCGCGCCACCAGTCCTCAGCCATGGGCAGCCATGGGCAGCCATGGGCTACGGCAGTTCTGGAATTGGGGATGGCAGATAGATGAAAATCATGGGATTTTCATGGGACATCTCACGGGAAAAATATGGAAATATGGGATTTCAGCTATATTTCAGGTGGGTCAATGGATTGATACAAAGGCCTTAAATTGCAGGAAACATTAGGGCCTCCGAAATCTCCCAACCCTGAATGGATTTTTAGGGATCTGGGATCCTACTTGGGGGTACAGTGTGAGGTTATGGGTATAAGCATCGTGATAACCTCCATAAGTTGGGATATAACCCCTATAAGCCTATGACCATATGCTCATGGGTTTTATATATATATATACTGTATATGTATTATATTATATATATATGTGTATATGCTTACATATCCACTTATTACCTCAACTGCTCCCCCAAGTAATGCTGGTTCTGTTCGTTTTCGCACGGTGCCATGACAATTGGGATACCTCATGGGATTAATGCAGCCATGGGGTGAACTAACCCTATGTATAAGTAGTGTAATTAGTCATCACTGGGGTGAACAAACATAACTAACCCAGTTAATGTCGGAAACCAATCATATCCCTACCGTTTGGAGATGGTTTATGGCATTGATGATGCGATAACACGAAGCTATCAAAACCCCATGGGTTTTGGATGGTTTTTTGGATGGTTTTGGATTTAAAGAAACCCCCCACATTTCCGGTGTCTCAGCAAACAGTTCATCAAATCCTTGGATCAACTGTATGAAACTCTAGGTAGACTTTTCATGATTTTTCTACATATAATCGTCTGTTAAATTAACATAGACCCTGGCAGATAGGACTTGGAAGATTAGTTTCAACTAACAAATGGTGATTTTCAGGGTCTATGTTTATTTACCATAGGGTATAATCGTCTGTCAACTGTTTGGTTAGTCTTGAAAGGCATGCTACCCCAGACGGGATCTTGCAAAAAGTCGACGGTTGCAGCGTAGGAGCTGTTGCTTGTTCTTTATCACCAACCCCCACCAGAAACAGGCGTCTAGAACCTGGATAAATTGCAATAATTCACTAACTTGAAATGAGGATTTTTCCTTGGGATAGTTGCCCCTGCTAGTCATCATTCCAGTGAGTTTGCAATCAGGTCATCCAAATCTATATATCCTCTGGTTATTTAACATAGCCATGGAAAATCACCATTTTTAATAGGTAAACCAACTATAAATGGGCCATTTTTCCATGGCTATATTAACGTATATTAAATAACCCGAGGGTAAATCAAATGTCTTGCAATTTATCCATCTATCAGGTAGCTGCCCAAGCCACCCTGCCCCCAAGCCCGGCCAAGGATCTGTTTTTACCACCTTAGAAGGGGGATTCCACTGGCACAGTGGTCCGTGCATGTCATGTGTCATGACGTTCGTCTACCGGATCTTGGCAGTACCTGGCCACCTGTGTTTGCATAAATCCACCATTTAGAGTTGCTTGTTGCATCAATGATATAAAATCTCCGTTTATAGGGGATGGTCCATTGCCCATGTTTGATTACCGGAGGGTAGTCATGAAAAATAGTCCACCACTATGAATTTTATAGTTGATTTTCTCATTGAAACCTTCAGCTATAGTGGATTTTCCAGTGCAACTTCTATGGAATTACCATGAATTGCCGTGATCGTGTGACTACAGTGATTCACCTGCCATGACCCCACCTTCCATTTTCATCACACCCTGGCAGGACACTTTTCTTGTGATGATCTCGTTCGACGTCAAATTCCACCACGGTGCCAGCAGTCAGCTCCACATCTTGGAACTGTTGCAGCAGAGCATCCCGATGAACAAACAAGTCCTCGGTTCGCGTTGGCGTCGGCAACGGTGAAGGATACGGAGCTTCTAATGTGAAAATCATCGAACTACATGATCTAAATATGATGGCCTCGCCTGCCAAATACATGTGTGCAGCTGGCTGCTACTGCCAAGCATCTCCAGCGAATTTGTCGGAGTTCACAAAACCTGACAGGGCGCACGGTTTTGATGTCTGTCTCCGTCGCGATTTCCCCAAGTGCTGGAGCTTTTTTTAAAGAAGGAGCTATATAAGGAGGAATGACTGGACTGATTTTCATCACCCAAATGATGAAATGGGGAACTCTGGCAAAAGGAAGCAGCAGTCAAAGCTGAAACTCCCATGTTGTTTCAGCACCGAGGAACCCCAAGCACCCTGAAAGGATCGAATCACGCCCTGTAGGCGTCGACCAATCCAATCGCAAGGCCGGAGCAATGCGCTGGTGGTGATTTGCTTGGCAACTGTACGACCTGGCACCCCGGAAGCTGATTGTTTTCTGCGCCTGTCACCTGTTGCAACATTGAACATCTCATATTGTCGGCTGTGCCATGTACTGTAAGTATACAAACCCAAATCGAGGAGCAGTGAATAAAAATAAGGGACTGTAATCAGGAAGCAATGGGCACACCAATCAAGTCTGACACTCCGCGAAGTTGTTGCGATTCTCCCTTTTGATGCTGCAGTGTGCAGGGATGGCGGTCTCATGACAAATGTTGTTCGCCATAGAAAATATGGAGTGAACATGTGACATGAGTGAGCATCAGTGAACTATAATTCGCACCATTGATAGTACCATTTTTTCACTACCATTTCACAAAAAAAAAAAACTTAGAGATGATGCTACTAATTACATATCTAATTACTAATCCCTGCTACTTCAATCAGCTGCGCTAAATCTTCCAATCTTCAGGGCCGGCAGCCTCGATCATCTAGGGCAATGTCAAACTCCACAGCTTGACCTGAAATCGCAACTGGGGCCCCCCAGGGATGGGAATTCAGGCCGCCAGGGCGCCAGGCCTGTGCGCAAAGGTGGTTGCCCATCTTGGATCTGCTCTGGTCCCAGAAGGAGGTTGTCCTAAGTTCAATTTGAAAAAAATGTGATTTCAAATGGACGCATCCTCATCCACAAGAGGTTTTTTGGCGGGTAACGCAATGATTTTCCGTGGGAAACTGCTACATTACCCTCTGGTCATTTAACATAGCTATGGAAAATCTATGAAAATCCATGAAAAGAAACCATGTTTCCTGGTAGATCGTCTATAATAAAATGGGCCAGTTTCCATAGCCAGGTACAGTCGGTACAGGTTCTGGCTGCTGCCGGATGCTGCCGGGCTTCTCTATGCACGAACAAGTCTCCATCGAAGGCTGCGGCATTGAGGAAGCCCCAACGGTCGGCGAAACGCCGCACGTAGCCTCCACCGAGTATCGCGGTTCCGGTTGAAACGGGGACTGGTGGCAGCCGGGGTTCTGCCCCAAAGAAACCGGACCAGAAACATCCAGAAACCACCAAACCTGGACCCAAAATGTTGGTTTTGCATGGCGTTACCAACAACAAAATCTGGATCGCATGGGATAGAACGGGATATGGGACTGAGAAACAAAAATGTCTTGAGCAACTTCCACGTGGATTCAACATGATGCAACTGGCGTTCGACCCTTTGGATGGGTATGTACATACATAAATCTTATATATATATATATACGCATGTGCGTGTTTGTAATATAGCTTGGGCACATTTATATACTATAAACATCTATAAACCAGTCATGGCAAAAACTGCCTATGTTCTATATCGTCTCATGCAATAATAAGGCGTTGCCGCTTATCCCTGTTTGGCTCACGGCTGTCAAGTCCACAAGATCCCGCACATGGAAACATAGATCCAAAATATATGGGAAACCTGGATTTCCGCTGGTGTTTTGATTGGGGAATTTGGATGCACAGGATCTCCGCCAGTTTTCGCCGTTGAGGCCTCTGTGCCTTTGACCCAAGCCTCAGCTCATGCTTGGCGTCTGTCACACCAAAAAAAAAAACACTGGTCCCATATGAAACAACTCACTCCCCTTGTCATAGACTCTATGACAACCGTGCAATATGACAAACTGCAGCTATCTCCAGCTCAAGTTTATACAGAAATAGGCCGTGGCGCCATCAAATCCAAGAGGCAATCACTAGGCTTGCGGCCAACTACTGGCTTGAGTGCAGTCGCGTGTGGCCTTCCACGCTCATCTGCTTGCACATCAAACTCCACACTTTCCTGGGAAGGCGAAATTGCCCGGCCTCCTAGGAGAGATCGTTGCCCCCCGGGAATAAATTTCTTGCCCCCGATCTTTACGGAACAGCGAAATAAAACCCTCACATTCCCACGATCAACGTAGTCACTGCACAAGCCTTGCAAATGAGAACCACAAGTTACATCTGCATGCGCCAATATTTCCAAACTGCTGACTCTGAGATTTTTTGTTCTACCTTTCAATGTAATTTAAACTGTTTGGCATAATTGCTCAAACCAGTCAAAGCGCTGACGTCAACAAACCCCAGAAAAGTGCACTGAGGCAAGTGAGACAATGAAGTCCCTCTATTCCAATGTTCTCTTCAGACCCACCTTTGCGCGGCGCTAATTAGGTGGAGAAGTGTCATCCTCTTTGAACTCGTAGTTTTGACATTCCAACATTACCTTAGCATTTCTGCAGCACCCCGGAAAGCCAGGGGGCCTGATGGAACCTGGAATTCCTGGAACCTCCGACCAGGCCAAGTCCCGAGAAGCAGTCTTCGAAAGATGATACAATTAATTCGATTAATATATGATATATAATATATGCATATATTCATCTTGATATATGTGATTGATTGAGGAAACCAAGGTTGGACTAGTATCCATGAACTAATCCCATGCGCGCCTGATTACACGGTCGCACCATGTCGCACCACTTCTGCAAGCCAAGATGCATTGTCTGTTTTGAATCCCAATTCACCTTCGAAGGAGTGACTTTTCAAAAATCCTGTGCCACTTTGCCCCACAAACCTCGCTCGCAAAGCGCACATGTCTGGTCGACGATGTTTCAAGCTACTTCTCCAGGTTCCATCAACGACATGTTCGAATTGGCGACGTCTCTTGAGATGGGAATCTATGGTATACCTCTGTTCAGTCCCAGCGCCATGTTCCTTCCAAGGGGCTTGGTGATCTTCCCCTGCAGCCTTTCCTTAGTGATACATTTGATGGTTCCCATTGAGTGGACCAGGCTCATCAAATGAATCAAATGCATGCAGCAATGCAACCCAACACCCAGTGCCACAAAGAAAACGATGGCAAAACAAACATTGCAGGATTGTCGCGGCATGTGTTGACTCAGTAAAAACCGAAAAAGATTCCCAAACAATGCTCACTTTACAGGTGACCCGTGACGAAAAATTAAGAATAGGGACCTGGAGTAGCTGCAACACACCTGAAACCCTGAAAACATCAAATATCCCCATTATATCTCAAGTGGAGTCTTTCAATCTAACCGTGTAAGTTATAATAATATGTATATATATATAATAATAATACTAATACTAATAATAATAATAATAATATGTATTATGTATATATATATATAGAGCTATAAGTTATACGATGTTATAGGTCAAAACCGTAGCACTGAAACATCACAATACTTGGTTGTTGTGGTTGTTCATCCCCAACTAGAATTTTTGTTTCCGGTCCCGGAGTCCCCATATCCAATTTTCATATCAATCCCAAAAAATATCATTAAATATCATATCCCCAAAAGCATCAATTTTGTTGGGGTCCCACTTTTTTTTTCCAGTTCTCCAAGCTCTCCAAGTTCTCCAAGCTTCATGTCGCAGCGTTAAAGGATTGCTCACGGGTCCAGTTGTCACGGTCCCGTTGCCCACGCCAGCCCCGTTGCCAACGCCAGGCGCCGAGGCCTGGCTTCCAGCCACGCGCTCCTGGGTCCCGGCAGCCACTGAACCCACCGGCTGCGCGCCGGGGGGCAAGGGTGCCAGGCGTTCGGCCTTGGCGCTGTCATTGGTGGATGGATTGGTGAATGTCACTGGATTGGTTTAAGGGAAAATTTACAGGAAACCATGGTTTTTACCATCAAATATAGGGTTTTCCTGTAAATTTTCCCATCATCCAATTCTATGAGAATGGATTGGTTGATATGACAATTATGAAATATTATGATAATCGCTAACTGATCTATATATATCTATATATAATATATGATCCATGATGACATGATATGGCATGCTGTATGCATGCTGTATGTTTTTACCATCTTATATGGGTAGAAATGATATGCATCCATGGATACTTTTCATAATGAAACACCAACCTGAAAAACAATGCCCTTTGGCGATGATTCCAGAGACGTCGCAGTGAGATCATTACGTAGATATCTGTGCTTCTATATATGTGTGATGACCAACTCTGTGTAAAATCAATATGTTACAATACAAGAACGGAGCTATATTATATATATATTTTATATTATACATTCAATTTTATCATAGTTTATCTATATTTCATGAACCTTATCCTATCTTATCATCCTAGGCACTTTGCTTAACTTTGCAATGGTGGAAACAATGATTTATATTCACCCATGGGATGATCAAAGATGAATCTGACAGCTGCAAGCCTCCGAACACGATATCACTATTGATCATATATCTGCACTGTCTTATATTGTTTTCAAGCCTTTACATTTAAATATGTTTTTTATATCTTTTCATATCATCTCCACTTCTCAAAGTGAGGCCACTGTTGATTCCCCTATCTTCCAGCTCCATTTGCAAAGGCACGGTGGCCACATCAGGCGGCATGGACACCACGCCCACGCCATCTAGCAAATCAATCGCCACGTCAGTCATCGCAGCGACGTCAGCGACGCGTTTCGGCGACCGACCTTCGGATCGCGCTTCCGCAACGGTCCGCTGAGCCAATCGTGCGTTCGGCAGCCCCCCAAAAAAAGGGTTCAAGCCTGAAAACCATGTGCGTTTGGGTCAAGACATGATATCCCAAAATTATTCGGAATCCCTTTTGATGGGTATACAAACCATTCGAAATCATTAGAAATCCATATTTATGGATTCTTGCAGACATATTTTGGGGGACAGTCGGACTGGAGTCAAAAAGCCTGGCGGGAAAAGCAATTCAGAAAGCTTTAGAATAAGCGGATCCGACAACTGGAGTGGTTTCAAGCCATTTTTGTTATCCATATATACCACATTATATATATATATGGCTTGAAACCATATACCATATATGATTTTAATGCAATATTAACCATATACGCCATGGTAATACCATGGTGTATATGGTTAATATTGCATTATTATACTAGATGGTATAGATATTACACCATATATCAACTATATATACCATCTGGTTATGACTAACATAGCCATGGAAAATCCACCCATTTTATAGCTAGGTAAACCATCTATTTCTATGGGCCATGGCTTAACCATGGCTATGTTAGTCATAACCAGAGGGTACCATCAACCGCTCCAACCGCTCCAGCGGCTCCAACTGCGCACCAAATCCAGAATGCTCGAAGGGCTCCACTGACCCAGCCTCAGTGAAACATCAAGGGATCCAAAAAAACCCGATGCGCAAGGGCTGCTGTCAGGAACTTCGGCATAGAGATCATATCAAATATGAGCTCGCTGAATCTAGCTATATCTAACTCTAGTTGAAGAACCATTGTAGTTCATGTGAAATATATGTCAAATATGATCTAATTGGCAAACTCCGCGATCTCCATTCTGCTGGGCACCCTGCTCCACAGTTGTGACCGTCTCGGTGTTACTAAGGGCCTGCCGTCCGGGGTGCAACAGTGCCTATCTTGGCCACTTCGCCAATATTTCAACCCAGAGATCCATAGTTTCTATCGCCAAAGTTAAAGATTCGCACATCATCTTAAGGTTTCAGGGGAAAGGTCCATGTTTTTTTGTTCCTACCATCATTGGATTGGTTTTGTTGGGAAAATCTTCACCGGAAACCATGGTGTTTTTACCATGATTTCTATGGGGGTGTCCGGTTTCAATTTTCCCAACCTGGACCTGGCCTGCAAGACCTTGCCATCGTCTCCAACAGCGTAGATACAGCGGCCCAAGGACTTGGGCCTTGCCACGGCGTCGTGGCTTGGGTCACCCAACTGGGCGTGGTTGAGGACCGATGTAACCAATAAAGCATCCAAGTATACCTATCCCGTACAAAGTAAGGAGTGTCTGGATAATATGAAAATATAGCTAATTATGTATATTTATACATATTTATACATATATATATATATATCATAACATATTGTAACCAGGTATAAAAACAATAGTACATATATTACAGTAATTTATGGTCACAGTCACTATACTAATCTATATTATAACTATGACATACATATAACGCCATATAACTCCGGCCACAAAAAACAGGGGGCGGCCACTGGGTGCCCCAGGCAACAAGTCGTTGGGCGTCCCACTGAAACCCAAACATCGACCAAAGAGCTGTGGCCTCGCTGGTGATGTTTCCAAGGGAAAAGCCCAACATCTACCAACATCTACCCAACCCCTAGATTTTTCCAAGGGAAAAGCTGGTTAAAAAAAAAAAAAAACAGTTGAAACGAATCTTTCAAGCCAGATTTGCCAGGGTCTATGTGAATATTTACTGGAGGCTAATCATTTCAATGTAAGATTACTGTAAGATGTAAGGGCTATAGCGGCTATAAATTGGGAATATCCCCACTAATATGTCTAAAAATATGCTACAGTAGCTCCATTTTAGGATCCTGAAAATCCCACGGATCATTTGGAACATGATTTCCGTGTACTTTGCCCATGAAAGGAGCCCGGAATCAACTGCCCAACACATAACTGTTTTTTCAAATATCGCATAGTGTAACGACTTCAACTTCATCAGTTTTTCCGCCTATCGCTCCTGTTTCCAGAGGCCCAAATTCTGTGTTCCCCATGTTCCGTCCACCTTAAAGTTGCTGGGGGCTAATGGTGATTGGCTCAGACTTTGTTATAGTGAACCCCAAAAAAGATCGACATGCAATCTTTACCATATTAGTACAAGGTGTTTTTTTAGTTATTTTCGTTGCTTCATAACCATCAACTATAGTTAGATGAGTGCTTAATATCCCTTACCCTCTGGTAAACGTTTACATAACGAGCTGGAAAGATCCACCATTTTATAGCTGGCTAAATCAACTATGTTCATGTGCCATGTTCAGTAATTATGTTACCCTCTGGTAATTTAACATAGCTATTGAAAACTACCATTTATAGTGAGTTTTTTCCATTAAAAATGGTGATTTTCCATAGTTTTTTGTATGTTTACCAGAGAAAAGTCATCACCAGGCCGGCTTTCGACCCAAAAAACTGAGCCTCCGGGCCCAGCGAGCTCTTGCCCCGAGGCATGGAGCTGCATCTCGTTGCGGTCCAAGGTGCCGGACTGAGGCAGGTCGCTGAGCCAACGGAGCTGACATAGCTATTGGTCATTGGGTTGGTTTAAGGGAAAATCTTAACCGGAAACCATAGATTTTACCATGAAATATGGGGTGTTCCTGTAAATTTGCCCTAAAACCAATTCCATGATATTGGGGAAGTTGGGAAGTCCACTAGGAATATCTATTTTTATCTATTTCTATGCATTTGTTGATGGGGAAATCATCTATCAATGATGGATTTTTCATTGCCATGTTTGATAAAATTAGAGGGTAGCTATGGAAAATCACCATGAACTCATAGATTTCACGGGGATAAATCATCGAACTAAATTGGCAATTTTCCATAGCTATGTGAAACATGTGATTTCATGAATTTTCATCCTTTACCTTTTTACCATGGTTTAAGTGGGAGGCTGTGTAAAAAGTAATGATCTGGGAAGGGATTGTTTAATTAACATTAATTAACATACATCGAACACATCAATTAAAATCCATTAAACATCTGGATGAATTAAAATTAACATAGGATCCATGGTGCTGGTATATATGCTAACATTGATTGGGGGTTTTTGTTGATGGGATCCATGGAGCACCAGAAAAAAATAGCAGCACCTAAATGGATCAGCCCCACTCGCCATTGTTCGTTGACCCGAGTCGAGGCCGTGGCGGTAAAAACGTAATGTTCCAGCCTTGGGACAAGGTGAAGGGAACTTGGATGGGCCTTCGGATTGGGATTTTATCGGAATAGAATGGTGACACTTGATTGGAAATAGATCTATAAATATTCCTATAAAATCCCATATAGAAAGAAATATATAAATAAAATAAAATTTGATGGGAATATGATTTGATCAACTGGCTGTGTCTGAACAATATCTAATACATACAGGAAACACAGCTGTGGCAAATTCAAAGACCCTTTGGGACCCTTTGCGCTTATTCCGATGTTGAATTTTGATGAATTTCGCAGGCCATACTGCTAATTTATATTGACAGCTGTAGCGATCCAAATCATAGGACGGATTCTGAAGGCTTGTGACAGCAAGACAATGTGGAGGTTTTGGAGCTTGCAAGGCCGGAGTAGCCGACCCAACGGTTACTGATTTCGTTGGATAATAAAATCCATACTGCTTGCTGCTTCCAGAAATTCCCAAAATCGTTCTCTTTCCCTACGGATGCTGGAAACTGCGCTGCATGCCATTCTCTGAACTGAGTACATAGAAAGAACAGCAAGAAAAGGAACCAAGCTTCTAACATGATCAGAACCTCAAACTTCCTCCCAATTGGATGTTTCCTAACATGGTGGTTATTCCCCCAAATCATCCATTTAAATATATTTAAATAGGCTTTTCCATTCTTTCTCCATCCAGCTCTTGGGTAACCCCCATGACTTAGGAAACCTCCAAGTCTTCCCAACCACCCAACTTCCGCAAAGTCCGCGGGTCGAAGGGACAGGTGTCGGATCGCCAAGGGCGAGAAGCGAAGGACCTCCGAAACCACTTGGATTTGCCTCGCAGCTCAAGCTCAGTGGCTCCAGATTTTTAGAGGTTGTGTTACTATAAGGGGAAAGGATGAATTATGTAGAAGCCTTACTTTTCCCATACCTTTTTTGGGGCTTTAGGAATGCTTACTATATGCTACATTAACTAAATTCATGTACCCTCTGGTAATTTAACATAGCTATTGAAAATCACCATTTTTAATGGGAAAATCCACTATAAATGGCCATGTTCAATAGCTATGTTAGTTTACCAGAGGGTAACTTCAATTAAATTGTGAATTCCACTATCTTTGGAGGTTCCTGATCTGGGATCTGCTGGTTCCTGATCTCCTTCTACCATGTTCCAGAGAGGATCCTCCACGGATGGATGTGGTGAGTTACCCGGGCAGTAGGCAAGCAAGTCCCCGGGTAGTAGGATATCCCATCTATGGATCATAACTAATTATATATATATAATTATATATATATGTGGTTTCCCATCTATGGGACTACAAAATGTTCGACCCCCTAGGGATTTTTGAAATCTTATGGCAGTTACTATGGTTCTTAACCACTGGGACGATCCTCCATCCAGCCACCAGTTCCTCAGCTGTCGACTCAGGATCCGAGATGTCCAACAATTCCAGTGGCCAAAGCCGGCGCGGACAACGACTCGGCTCCCTGGGGCAGCTGGGGCGGGGCCCCGGGGCCCGCCGGGTCTATGTTGGTTTATAGAGGCCATGAATCCTATAGTTCAAAGTCTCAGAAACCATAAGTTATGGAGTTGTGTTCACCAACTTAGCATAACTTAGCTATCTAGGGGGGCCTCACTTTGTATGGACATTGACGGATTGATATCATGAATTGAGACTGGTTTCCTACCCTGTCAGTAAAGTCTTCAACAGGTTGGGGGTCTAACAACTTTAGATGCGTCTAGAGTTTTGCGGTTTCAGATGGTTTACCCTCATCCAACCCGGCGCAAGCCGGAAAAGTCACCTGAATAATAGTTCGATGATTTTCGATGATTGGCCAATGGCCATTTATAGATTCATTTTTTGATATTTTTGCTGATTTCCGAGCCATGTCAATTTTCACCGGCTTCACGGCTTGCCTTTCTGGCTCGCTTGCACCCGACAGTGATGGCAGCTTGCCTTCCAGGGATATCCCCCATGGAAAAACATAGGCATATCACTACAACTACCAATACACCATGAGCCATAAACTAACAACTAACTGCAATATGTTATAATATACCACAAGAAAGTATAAATACTAGTGGTAAATGCATACCCAGTATACCCTTGAAACATGATCGGTGTAGTTTACACTTTTTTTTAGTACACAGTTGCTATTGGATAGTATACTGACAAACCTCCAATAGTTGATAGTTATCTTATATGATGGATATGTTCTACCCCCTAAGCACCAAGTTTTATATACCCTATGGGTATCACTTGATATACTTGATACTGTCCTCAAAATAATGTGGATATATGTGGATGATGTGGAAAATCGCCATTAAATCCAACAACAAACCTCCAATATCGCACCTTCCAGAACATCGCTAGAGCCGTTGGTACATGCACGCCTCAATCGCACACAAGGCTTGGGCTAGAAACCATGCCCCAAATGGGCTATGTCCAGTTGAGATCATTTTGGCGGATGCTTTTCAAGTGTGCTTAATAAGTTTGATTCGGATGGATTCTGATAGATCATTATTGATTTCACTGATTTCCCATGGGTCTTGATGGATTTAGTGAAGGAGAATTCTGGATCTGGGATGATTGTAGATGTTAATTAATCCCTTCTTCCTATTACTATCGCCCCCAAATCGTAAAAACTCCCCCAGATTGTTCGTTTTGGGAAATTTCAGATGGGCCAATTTGATTTTTGATTGATCCCCTTTGGAAAACAAATTTAAAAATTAAGGTCCAATTTGAGGGTTTCACCCCTGATTTTAAAAAAAAAAACTAGCCAACACTGTTTTTTTTGGGTTTCCGTCCTTTAAAATCCCAAAAAAAAAATCGTTTAATCTAATATTACTAGTAGTGGAACCTTCGAAAGCCAATTTTTGGCCATATGTTAATTGGAGTTTAAAAAGGAATTTGATCGATTTTGAAGTAGAAACTTTTTGTTTTGTTTAAGGTGGTTGATTTAACATTAGAGGAACATTCGAAATCCAACTTTGGGTAATATGTCAATTGGCTTTAAAAAGGAAATTCATTGACTTTAAAATAGAAATTTAGTTTCTTTTTTAAGGATTAATGTTGGGAATCGTCGAAATCCAACTTGTCGAAATATGTTAATTGGAATTTAAAAGGAATCCCATCGATTTTGAAATAGAAAGGTGTTTGTTTTTCTCCAAGGTTTTCAATTGAGTAACAATTATTAGGGGGAAGCTTCGCACCCTAATATTAAATACCCCTTAATACTAAAAACTACCCCTATATTTTCTTGGGAGGGAGGTTTAGTATTAGGGGGAAAGGGATTAGTTCAACTGGCTGCCACTCGCAAACATGGCTGCATTTAACACGTCTGGCTATGTCTGGCTGAGATCTCCAACTGCAGCGACTTGGACTTTCGAAGCTCGTCTTTGGCATCGCCAACCCATCTTCCGTCCTGGTCACAGCTAAGGCATGCATCCAGAAGCATCGTAGATCACATTCCCACCCAAGTTTCTTTCACATCTTTCCCATCCCCAAGACGGAAAGAAACTTTGACCATCCCAAACAAAAACTAAACAAAACCGAATATAATTAATTAAATTATGTATATATATATAATATGTGTGTGTGTTTCTCATGTGTTTTTTTTCTCTAAACCTCTCCGCCAACACATTCACTCCACCCGTTGATCCCTCGATGTGTGGAACTCCTCGGTGAAGCCACGGACGCGGCTGCCGGCCCCAACCACCATAGCCACGTAGGCTTGGCACGCCATGCGCCGGTGGAAGGGGACGCTACTCTCCTTAGCGCCGCCCTGCTTATTGTACTATGAGTCATGTGTATCTATAGGGAGATAGCACATGTGTATTAATTATATGTATGTCAATGTATTATGTATATTGTGTATGTTGTGTATGTTGTGTATGTTGTGTATGTTGTGTATGTTGTGTATGTTGTGTATGTTGTGTATGTTGTGTATGTTGTGTATGTTGTGTATGTTGTGTATGTTGTGTATGTGATGTATACATTCTGTATTATATATATAATGTATATTATGTAATTTCTGTATATTATGTATATATATATATATCTATGTGTATATATCTATGCGTACATGTATGTGTATATGTATGTGTATGCGTATGCGTATGGGTATGTGCATGCGAATGTGTATGTGTATGTATGTACGTAGGTATGTAAATATATGTATGCAGGTAGGTAGGTAGGTAGGTAGGTAGGTAGGTATGCCTGCATGCATGTCTCTGTGTGTGTATGCATATGTGTACGTCTATGTGTATGTATACGTATGTATATGTCTATGTATGTTTCATTTGTACGCGTATGTGTATATATATATATATATACATCTGTGTGTGTAATTATATATATGTACATATATTATGTGCGTGAATCTATATACGAATATTACTATGTGAAAAAGGGAGGGAGATTCTAGATTAGTTGGGCAGTGTTCAAAACCTCTTCTTTTCACTCTACTGGTTAGTTATTCTAATGGGAGTGGATATTGTTTAATGATTAAATAGGTATGTCCAGAATGGAGTATGATAGTCCCCAAGATTGGGCAGTATAATCCCCTCAGGTTTTTTCCATCAACCAACAAGGGTTTTGAACACTGCCCAGTTGGCAGCGCACAGCACCACCAAGCATCGGAGCGCATTTCGTCGAGCAAAACATTCAACAATGTCAGCACCTGCAATGTGATCGCAGGAAATGAGGAGGGCCAAGCCGGGCAAGCTTGCTGAATTTCCAAGGGAAATGACGTGTCGAAATTGTCCAGCTAGCACGCAATAAATATGCATATATAATTATACATATATATATACAATTATTATACAATTATATAATTACAATAATGAATAATTGAGTCTACCCCTTGAAAGGTCAATCGATGACTTCAAACTTATTCAAACTTGATCACAAGCATCAGCACAAATCTCTCTAAATCTCTGCCATTTGCAGTGCAAGGTCTCCAACACGAGCCACGGCTTGGGACGTCGCCCCAGGGCCCCCCAGGGCCCCCCAGGGCCCCCCACATCGCGCTCACGTAGGCCATGCAGTCGATATGAGAGAATCGTGAAGCCTACCAGGCTACCAGGATCTCCCATGGATATCACGGGACCATCATGGCATCAATGGCATCATGGCATTACTGGCGCAATTTCGCAGGGAATTTTCGGGAATGATACCATTTCCTCACTATCAATAATCCCAGCAACCCCCAGCAACCCATCCATGCCCTACGGACTTAGCACCAGTAAGTATGGGATCAGAATTCGACCTTCGACGAACTTGGACCTTTCCAGTTGGAAAGACTTTTTCACAGTGCCCAAATAAACCAAAGTGACATAGCTATGGAAGCCATGGACCGTTGATAGATGTTCAATGGCCAGCCCAGGATCGTAAGTATTGACCTTCCAAAAGCCGAACACCGAAACCTTCAAATGTGATCTGAAAGAGTCTGAATATGTTCTAAATCTCATCTTCTTGGGTTACATTCTCCATTATATCATGGATATATCCCCAATTACCATCAATTACCCAAGAGTATTATATACTATTTTTGTCATTCAACAAATGGTAGAAACACCATTTTCTGATTGTGAGCTAGATTATATATAGCGACACCAAAAAACATAGATATTGTAGTAAAATCCTACTAACATGTATTAACATGTATATAGTCGTAATTATTACTTTTCTGTCTTTTTTCCGGTGTTCCTATCTATACACTCGTTGGTGTGGTAAAACCCAAAAATAAACTATAATAAACTTATCCCCAATATCTTAAATGAGTGGCTTAAAAAACAATCATCCTCAAATGGTTTATCATCCCCAGATGGTCACCTATGGCCACGTCTGGATGGGAGAACTCCGAAGATGTGCTGGGCGTATCCTGGCGGAGCTTTTGCAATTTTGGGGGATTCCAATTGAAAACATTGCTGGTATTTTAATGATTGCAATTCTAGTTTACAATGGATACTGATGGTGTATAGCATCAACAACCTATAATTTATGATATTTATGTATGACATAGGGTTGCTATTCAATCTAGTTTTCAAATGTTCATCAAGGATACGGACCACTGACAGCGCCTTCCCAACAAACGGCACGGCCAGGAGCTTCCGCGACTGCCCACCGCCGGTCAGCTCCAAACTGCGTCCGGTCCTGAGCGAAGTTGATCCGATGGCAGTAGGGATTTGATCAAAACATGTGGTTTTAGATGGTTTTAGCTGTCAACAAATATGTGGTTTTAGCTACCCTCTGGTAAAGTAACATAACTATGGAAAATCACCACTTTTAATGGGTAAATCAACTATAAATGGCCATTTTCCATAGCTATGTTAAATTACCAGAGGGTATCAACAAATGAAGTTTTTAACTACAAAAAAAATCTCAAGAATGGGGCCTAAAATGGCCTAAACGTCAAAAATGGAAGCTGGACTATAATTGACCACCAAAAATTGGGGGGTTCCTTGTGTTGAAACGGAAGAGTGTCAAACTTTCCCTAGAAACTGATTCCTCACATCTTCTCCCCTTCTCAATTGTCGCTTACATCACCTAGGCCACCTAGGCATATGTGTTTGTTGTTTTTCTTTGCCAGGGCTTCTCAGAGGATTTGCCCCACCACATTGCCCGCATCGTCGCGCAGACAGGGGTTGCCAGGTGGACGTGAAATGAAAAGACAAACTTGAGGGGGAATACTGGGTTGTACAAAATGGGTGAGACACTGTCGCAAACTAATTACTGTGCTTACACTCAGATCCACTCAATGGGAAAAACTATGCATATCTGATCATATTATCCGCCGACCCCGGCTGATGCAAGGGGGAGCGCGTCAAGGATTACGGGTTTCTGTTGTGCAACAGCAACAGCAACAGCAAACAGCAACAGCAACAGCATTAGCAACAACAACAACAACAAAAACAACAACCAACCAACCAACCAACCAAACAAACAAACAAGTAAACAAAAAAATGATGGTGTGTTGATGTGTGTTGCGTTTCTGCAAGAACTCTCTCCTTCTCTGTGCAAATTGATGGTGTGTCGCGTTTCTGCAAGAACTCTCTCTTTCTCTGTATATCCGCCGACCCCGGCCAAGCAAGGGGGAGCGCGCCAGGGAATAGGAGTTTCGACTCAACTCGTCAACAACAACTCATGAGAAGCTTTTGTAAACTACATCAAAATGCCAACAAAACCCAAATAAAGATGTCATGTTTGGTGTGTCTGTGTGTGTGTTTGATACAAACCCGCCATGTCAGCAACATGCTGGGCAAGTCAGCAATGACATGCAGAACATGCTCGAGACATGCTTTTTTTCTCTAAAGGTTCAGAAGTTACATTAGGCCTTTTTTCCCGTCTAGAAGCTTATGTAAGCTATCTCAAAATGCCAACAAAACCCATCTAAAGATGTCATGTTTGGCTCGTTTCACAGAAAGCTCGCCATGTCAGCAACATGCTGGGCAAGGCACCCATAACATGCAGAACATGCGTGAGAGATTTGAAGAGATTGTCTGTTTTTCTCTAAGGTTTCAGAAGTGACATCAGGATCTTTTACCTGTCTAGGGGCTTTTGTGAACCCAACAAAACCATATAACGATGTGAGTTTTGGTGCGTTTACTGCAAAGTCCGCCACGTCAGCAACAGGTTGGGCAAGGCACCAATGACATGCAGAACATGTGTGAGAAAGTGTCTGTTTTATTAGGGTTTCAGAAGTGACATTCGGCGCCTGTCCCGTTACATCAAAATGCCACCAAAACCCAAATAAAGATGTCATGTTTGGTGTGCGTTTGATACAAAACCCGCCATGTCAGCAACCTGCTGAGCAAGTCAGCAATGACATGCAGAACATGCTTGAGACATGGTGTGTTTTTTCTACCGGTTCAGAAGTGACATTAGGCCCTTGTTCCCGTCTAGAAGATTATGTAGGCTATGTCAAAATGCCAACAAAACCCATCTAAAGATGTCATTGTTTGGTCTGTTTAGCGCAAAGCCTGCCATATCGGCAACATGCTGGGCAAGGCAGACTGCGCGAAAATTTGCATGCTTTTTCAAGAAACAAAACAAACAAACAGCATCACCAAACAACAACAACAACAACAACAATAACAGCAGCAGCCATGGCCGCAGCCCCAGCCACGGCAGCCCAAAGAGAAACAGCAACAACAGCAAGGCCAACAAGTACAACAATGTGCAACAGGACCTGTTCGTTGTGGAGGGGTTCAGAGGCAACGATAACGCGGGAAATGCACGGCTGTATGCAGACTCAGCGCGCATACCAATCCTTGCAGGGACAAATCTTCCCGTTGGGAGCCTTATCATGGCTTCGAATCCTGCCTGATGCATAAAATGAATACTTTGCACATAGGGCACCTGTGCTGATGACAGCGAGCAGCCAGAGTGCCATCCCTGACTTGAAATTTGGGAAAGGGGAATCCCACCTATGTCATCCTGATGAAACAGAAAACAAATGAGACTGTTGGGGGTGGTTTAATTGTTTAATTGCTTTTTACCGGGGTCGGCGGCAAGGGCTGCAGCCCTTAAATGTAACTAATTCGTTTCTGAAGGCCCAGCTTCCCCAGGATTTTTCAAAATTCGATCCGCCAAGACACAGCAGCCCGTAGGAAACCCTGTGCACCTTGCTTAAGATGTAGGGCCTTGGACGCTGCAGTCCGGTCATCAAAGGTATACACCATGGACTCAGGTTGATTTGGTGCGTTGGATGCTGTGGTCAAGAGAAACGGGGTGAACATGGGT